GTCTCTCTTTCTGTCCCTTTTTATCCCCTTTTTCTCTCTCCTCCCTTCTTCTCTCTTTCTGCTCCCCCCCAACTTCCTCTCCTTCTCCTTCCTTCTTCTTCCTTTCCCTCCTCTCTCCCTCCCCTTTTCCTCCCTGAACCTTGCCAAGTACACTATTTGCATGGAATCCTAGGCTTGAAGACACCACAGCTGAAATCTCTCAGTGCCAGGCCTAGCTCAAGCACACGCTTTTCCCATTATACCTGCCTCCAGAATTATGGAAATGAGCAAGTAGATTTTGCTGGTCTGTTTTCTCTCTAGTTATAACAGCATTTTCTTCATGTTTTTCCTTGATAAGCATCATCCACCATTTTCTTATCCATACCCTGCTCGACACCTTCCTCCCACCCCCTGGCATTAGGGAATTTCTGTTTTCATTCTTCACTATATTAATTTCTGTAGCCACAGGGTGAAACTGTAACAGAACCAAAATGTTTCTAAAGGAAATCTGATTGTGTGTAAGCATGGAATGCTTAGGAGCCCCTCTTCCCTCCACAGTATTCTCCTTCACCCCCACTTGAATGAAAAGTATATTCTTAACTTTTGTATTTGTTCTTTCTGGCAGGGAGACTTAAGCCAGGGTCAGATTACTGCAGTGGTGTCCGGGTTAGAGCTGAAATCCAGGGGTATACCACGCTGCTCGTGAGCTACAAACACGGTCACATTCACCTGAGTGCCAAGATTACCATCGCTGCCTACCTCCCACTGAAGGTGAGCCCAGCTTAACAATTCATCTGAGTTCTCCTAGGTGCTGAGAGAGATACAAAGGTAGATAATATGTAGTTTTTCTCCTCCATGAGCTTACAGTCTAGTAGCAGTAATATGACACAGACATAGATAAATGTATAACAACTCACATTTATGTGGTGCTGTAAGATTTGCAAGGCATTCTACTTACACCATCTCATTTGATCCTCACAACTCTGTAAAGTAGGTGCTACTACTATGCCCATTTCATGGATGAAGAAACTGATACCCAGAGAATTTATGATTTGCACAGGGTCACATAGTAAGTATCTAATGTGGGGCTTCAACCCAGGTCTTCCTCAGTGCAAGTCCAATGTTCTACCTGCCTCTCCTCTCTGCTGCTCTTCAACACAATAGAACATAACAAGGGCATAGGAGAAGCACAAATCAGAGGTGAAATCCAAGGGAGCAAAGATCATTTCCAACTGGAAGGATCAAATAAGACTTCATTGAAGATACTTGGCTGTATGAAAACTCTAATCGTAGCTAGACCTAAGGCAAAAGCCTGCAGGTCCCCATCCTGGAAGAAATCAGTCAAGGCTCAAAGTAATGATATAGTAAGAACTTATCACATTTATCATATTAATCATTCCAGAGAACCACCATGAGGTGACCAAGGCACATATTATCCTTTCCCTTTGATAGATAAAGAAACTGAGGCACAGAGAGAATAAGTAGTTTGCCTACATGGGTGGATATGATTAGTGTCTTATGCACTGACTGCATAGGAAAAGTCTAGTCTGTATGTACATATATCATGATGCAATGCTTTCCCTTTAGAATAAAATCTTAATTTGCCCAAAACTGAAACTCTTCAGTTGAATGAATTCCTTCTCAACTAATATCAGGGATTTGTTTATTCATTCATCTTAAAAAGCAAACACACACACACACACACACACACACACACACACACACACACA